TGTTATTGTGGTGTCTATTGAAGGCGTTGCGCGACCCAACAAACGATTTAAATTTTGCCAAGTTAACCTTATATTACCCTGACAATTATTAAAAACTTTCAAGTTAAAATTAATTTCTGCATTCCTTAGTTTATTATTCACTTTATTTCGAAATTTTTTATACTCGTCAGAATAATTTTTGTTTGTTGGGTTGCTTTTCATTTCATGATCAAAATAACTTTTCGGCTCCCTTTTTTTTGCTGCTGTAAAGTTGCAAACAACAAAACCTCTTCCTCTTTTCTCAAGAGACGAATTCGCTAAACAAAAGCGGCGCTGCCTCAAACACCGGCGAAATTGAATTTCTGTCACGCCTCTCGCGATTTCCTTTTGAAATCAATTTCCCTCAACTGGATATGATTGCGCTTCGGGGAATCCAACACTGCACCGTTTATCCTCCTCCGCTCGACGTATTTGCGATTACCGTGCACCAAGATATATGTTAAGAGGATATAGCATTATTCAGCAGGCGCTTTTTGTATGGCGGCGATAAAAATTTCCCATGCTAAATTGCGCCCGTAGAACATACGTGTACTCCATTTTAAGATGGATCTGCCCGCTTTTTCATTCCAACAATGGAGCAGAGTCATTTCTTCGTCTGTGACAAGAGGACTTTCTTTGAATAGTCTCTTTGCCGCACATTTACATATTTCCTGCTCGTGCATTTCCCACATTCCAGTTGTCAAAGACGATTTTTTGAACCAAGGTAGGTCTTTGTCCCTTTGAAGTTTTGAATTATATTTGATTTGTAAGAAAAGTATATTTTGTTGAAACTTTTGCTCAAAATTTGGTCTTGCCTGCCCTTTTAGACGGATTGACTAAAATTTGGCCATTTTTTACAGCTGATTCTCAAAAGTAAAAAATCTGCTGCTCATTTACATGTTTTTAATGGATCAAAATAGTTTTAACAAGATTTAAGAAAGATATAAAATTTTTATTTAATGGATTGTTTAATTTTTCAAATTATCAATTATTAACTCCAGAGTGTACAACAATTACAAATTATCTTCCAAAATAATCGAAAAATTTGTATATATTGTTGACCATATCAACAAGGAAGCTCTTTTCAAAGAATGAATACTAATTTTATTTTCATTTTTTTAATTATCTTAAAAATTCAGGTCATTTTTTCAACCAACAAAATTTGAAATTTTACTCGAAGATTGAGAGTTTTTAATAAAAGCTTGAATTTCCACTTTAATATAAATTTAAGCAGGACAAAATTTTTAATTAAAGTAAATTTCATCAACACGAGATTCATCTTTCCATTAACTTTGATTTATGTGTGTGGAGGGAAGAAAGGAAGGTTCAGACGCGCAGCAGAAGCTCATCTGCTTTTGTTTACAGATAAAACGTTCCTGACGTTTTGTGTTTTGTCGCCGCGACGCTTTTCCTTCTCTGCAAATATAAATCACACCTCCTTCTTTTTTCCAGGTTTGTCTTTGCTTCTTCTTCTTGAGTGAATTTGTGCGGTTCTGCTTTAATTATTCAAGGATTCCTCTGACCAGAATGAATCGCATTTGTTTGCTTTTTTGCCGCCGCCGTTGTGGTGTGTCGTGTAAAATAATGCACGTGCCCGCAAACACGGCCTGAATAAACAAAATTAATGGAATAAGCGACGGGGCGTCCGACAATGAGCCCGGCCTGAAAAGAAATAATGCACTCAGGACGGTTCGTGACGCTCTAATGAGAGGAAAGAGTTGGGCACGCTTAAAATCAAAAGTGAATGTAAAAAGTGGCCGAGTTGGTGATTTCATATAAATACATTGTCAGCAAAATTTAGCAATTTTATACTTAAAGAAAAAAATTATATAATTTCCAAAAATTGAAAATTTTGTCAAGAGTTATGGTATTGATTGATGAATTTAAACTAAATTCCTAATAGAAAATTGTAACAATTTTTTTTTAAATAGTTTCAATTTCGTAGGACATGAATTTTAATGTATTATTGTCTTTTTTAATTTTAAATTAATTGGTTTTTCATATATTCTTCAAGCGACAAAATGGCAAACGTTTCTCGCTCCATTTCAAAAGGAAAGTTTGGCATGAAATTTTTGTTTGACTTGACTTGTTGATTTCCCTTTCCTTTTTTCTCCGCCAAGATCGAGCGAGGGCAAACAAAAGAAAATGAAGAGCGAGTGTTTTCTTGGGTGAGATGAATCTTCTGGCTACACTTCTTGTTGTAAAATTCGCAGGGATGCAGCTGGCCTGAGATGTGGGGCGGTCCATCTTCTTTAATGCATTAGTGGCCACGAAGCACGGCTCGAATGTGATTTTGAAAGGTGCTTTTTGCCGAGAGCGGTTTCAATGACCCTGCCTGCGCGTCTGGCGAAATATTGACAGCTCTGCCTCATAAAAGCATCATAACTTGTTTGCGCAAAAATTGCTCGTAAAACAAAAAAGGAGAAAACAAAAAACGATCGTACCATGCATGGAGAGAGACATCAAAAGTCACTTTATGGGAGGCCCTTGCCGGGTTTAATCGCCTCGCTGAAGAGCAGCTGTTGAAATTCTCCGCTAAATTCATTATCGAATGAGAGAGAGACGCTCCTTTATTTATGGGTTACATGCATGTGATGTATCCATCCTCGTGTGCGCCTCCGCTAAATTGGATTACGTCGTGTTCCCTCGGCGGAAAGGTGGAATTAATTCAAAACAATAGAGAGCGGTGCACACACACCTATATCTAGGGCGAAAAGAAAAATTTTCCAAGGGAGATAAAAATAATATTGTGTAAACCGACTCTTTTTATGACTTTTTTTCGCGTCCTTTGATGGCGAGTAGAGTAATGAACTGAATGGATTCTTTCATTTCACGCAAAAGTGGTGATTGAATGGGAGGATAAAACAGAGGAAAAATCAATAGAGCCCATAAAATGTGTTGTAAAAATATCAAAAACAATGAAGAGATTGCATGTTTATTTTAGAATCTGAAATTGATGAAACTAAACAGAACTAAAACACGCTTTAAATAAGAATTTTATTCAAAATTCAAATTTTTTTTTCAATTTAAAGAGCACAAAATAAAAGTTAAAATCAACATTTTAAGGAGGAGCTTATGATATTGTCAAATTAGTGCTTTTTTATTGCTGATGCTTGTCAAATCTGGTCCTTTACAAGATTTTCAATCATTTTAATATTTGAATTTTACTGCTTTTCCAAACATTATAATTCCATTGGAATTTAAATGTTTTTTCATTCATTTTTTTTATCTCGCTTAAAGTTTTACAAATCAATTTTTTGAAATTTTTTTTCTTTTATAAACAAAACACTGTTCGGGCCGTTTCAACATGAAAGCTATTTTTTTTTATTGGTGCATTGAGGGCGATCAAACAGTCAGTGGCTTTATTATTATAGCTCGCGACTACATTGGCCATTTGAACTAATGAAGCTTTTGTCAGCTTTTGCTAAGCGATCAAACAATGCGATTAATTTTAATCATATAGGAACAAAATACACCATTTAGAATTGATTTATTTTTAAAATAAAAAACCCACTTATCATAATTTTAAATTGATTATAATCAAAATTACTTGACCTTTAAAGAAAGCAAGAGGATAAAATAATGCTTATGGTTGGTGCGTGTTTCTGTAATTTTGTGTTCAAAGCAATGTTTTGTGTTTGTTAAATTCCAGGTTCATATTACCTGAAAATAATTAAATAAGATTCTTAGCATCCCTTTCATTGTCTCTGGTGAAGAGAGGCGTGTCTGCTGGAAATCAAATTTCTCAGCGTCGCACAAAGGCTCATTCAATCCGCCACTTGTGTATGTGACAAAGCGAGATTGCAAGTTTCTCTCTCTTGTACACACACATTGCATCTATGGTCTCGTAATAACGCAATTTAGCAGTGGTTTTAGTTCTCTCTCGCTCCACACGTGCGTGCTCGGTCCGTTGAGATTTGTTTGGCGAGAATATTAATTGGTAATTATCCCCTGCAGAGAACACACGACGGAACATGCACGGTAGGGGAGATTTCCGATTCAGGTGCTGATCGAGATTTGCTGTTATGTTTCCATGCCATGTAGAAACTCCCGTCAAAGCATAAGCATGCTTGACAGATGCAAATCGGCTTTACAGAATCTGATTGAAAATTAATGAGGTTTATGGTTATTGATAAATCTGTTTAATTGATAAATGATTCATTGGATGATGCTTAACGATGATTCAATATTATAAGATTTTGCAAACTTATGACTTTATTTTCCACCTAATTGAGATAAATTCAAAACTTTAATAAAATTCAGTTCTCCTCATAAAGTCAATTTTTGTTATGACGTTTGAAGAAATCTACCAGCTATTTCTAATTGTAAGAGATAAAAAATTTGCATCAAAATAATTTTAAAATTTTAAATTATGCGTTAAAGATTAAAGATCCACTCCGGTCATTTGTATTGCTCTTTATTCTGAAAGATTGCTAAATTTCGAGTATATCTTGTGAAAGAATTATTTGAAAATTCCAAACCGTTGCGTCTCAATCAAAAGAAAACCTAAATACGAGTGATTCGCGCGAAAAACGTGTGAAAATTGAGTAGCCAATCAGATCCATCAGTTTGTTCCAAAAACTACAGAATTTGGTCACATTGGCGCTGCGATCGCTGATTTTGCCAAGTTTTCTGCAGCGCCGTGGGGCATTAGTGGCAAAATCAGCGATCGCAGCGCCAATGTGACCAAATTCTGTAGTTTTTGGAACAAACTGATGGATCTGATTGGCAACTCAATTCTCAAGTTTTTCGCGCGAATCACTCCTATTTAGGTTTTCTTTTAATTGAAAATTGATCTTTAAGTAGCAAATAATTTTATTAACAATTTTAATTTTTATGCTCCAAAACTTTTTTATTTTTTTTTATTTTGAAGACTTGATTTTTCCAACCAACTTTTAAGGTTGCGCAGTTATTTCAGATCTTATATATTTTAGGAATAGAAATTACAAAATTTGAGACGAAGCAATATAAAGTTGACTGACCTGTCGAAGGAGATGGCCATGAGCGTGAAGACGCTGGCGCAGATGGAGAGGACGGCGACGAACTGCGTGATTTTGCAGTAGACGGTGCCGAAGGGCCAGTCGCTGTTGAGCATGTAGGTGTAGTTGAAGGTGACGTTGAGCGTGGAGACCATCGTGTCGGCCACAGACAGGTTGACGAGGAAGTAGTTGGTGACGGTGCGCATCCGTTTGTGCGCCAACACGATCCAGATGACGATGACGTTGCCGCCGGTGGCCACCACCACCATCAGAGCGTACAACACCGACCACAACGCCTGGCGCCACCACGGCAGGATGAACTGGTTCTCGGCCATCAGGTCCGCCGACGAGTTGTTGCCCGCGCCGGCCCACTCCTCCACCAACGCCGGCGGCGTCGTGTTGTTGCCGAACAGCACCAGCGCGTCCGTCGAGTCTTCCATCGTCTGAAACACACGTTGCAATATGATTTTTAATTTGAATGGTAAATTGAAGACTTTAAGCATGGAAATAAATTAAAAATAAATATTAATAATAATAATTAACCACCTGAAGAAGGTCAATTAAAATTTTTGCATATATGTGGGATTTAAGATGAACACCAGTAAATTTTTTTATTTCTGAATTTGAAAAAAAGGCAAAATTTTATGATCAATGATGAAACCATGATTGAAAAAATTCATCAAACCAGGGAATAATTTGAAGTTCATGATTTCTCGCCAAAAAAATTGAGCTCTAATTGAAAAATCCCTAATCTTTTATTAATGCATTATTGAATCGCCACAGGAACTAAAACGGAATAATGTGGATATTTAAATTGTGGTTAGACTTTGGTCATGAAATTCAGAATAAAAAATGAATCTAATTATATTAAATTGCAATATTTTTCCAGAATTTGTGGGAAATTCTTATTTTTAATTACTAGTTCAATTTCAATTCATTTAGATATAAATGAAATTTACTGTGAACTGATTTGATTTACAGCAAAATGAATCTAGAAATTAAAAATAAATATAATAATAGTAAAATTCTAAATTTTTTTCCCTCTTTTTTGTATTAAAATTAGACGAAGTTATTAAATGTGAATTAAATTTAAAACTCTATTTAAACAACCCAGCAAAGTCAATTGAAAGAAGAAATATTCTGAAAAATTTCCTTTAAAAGTTTTCTGTTGTTCTTTGCTTCCGAGTTCAGCAAAGATTACACAAAATGATTGGCAAGCATTTTCCTTTGATATCAAGATTTTTTCCGATTAAAACTTGCTTTCATCAATATACATTCAAATAAAATTTTCACTACGTTTCTTTCTCTCTCTCTCTAGTCAGCAAATTTTTTATTTCTTCATTGATTGCAGGAGCAGGAAGGAGGAGAATGGATGAATGAAGTTAATCAAGGCAGACGAGGGTTTGCAATTATATAAACAGCAGAATTAATGAGAAGTCGCGTCTTCTCTCCGCGTTTTTCCCAATTAAATATGCACTGCCATTTCTTTGGAAAGCTTTTTCTTGAATAATAAAAGACCCACGGATAATCTCAAGACAGGAAACGGAACTTATTGAGATGGAAGATGGCTTCAGTGCTGCATATAATTTTTTTATAATTTGGATTTCTTGCTATTTTCCAAAAATTGGATACCTTTTCCCTCTCTTTTTTGAAAAATTTTTGGAATATTTCTACAAATCATTCCCGATTGAGCAGAATACAAAAAATAACTTTATTTACAAACCTGAAATAATGTTGTAAAAATTATAAGACAAAGTGAAATTTCAATCATAAATAATAATCTAATCTTCTAATGTACGTGTATTTATTTATATTTATAGTGATTTGAATTTATTTCTATAAAATGCATGTTTGAATAGCAGTTAAAGAATAAGAAAAAACTTTGATTAAAGCAAACCTACAACTTTCCTTCCTTTAATGAATTCGTGGAAAAGTTGATGAAATTCAAGAGATTTCCGCTCGTCACCATAGAGTGACGCAAAATTATTTATTTTGGCAGCTGCTTGCGTGAGGCGAAACCCGTTATTGATTTGACAATGAACAATTTTGGCTGCTCGTCGAGGCGCGAAAAGTTCCCTCGCGAAAACGAACGTTCTCGCTCTCGTTTGTTTGCTCTGACTTAATTTTCGTCGATGGAGGGAAAGAAATCGGACGTCTTTGATCCTCTTGAATATGCAGAGAAGGAAAAGTAAAGGAAGAGACAATTGCGCGCAATTTAAGTGCTGCTGCTTCCATTAGGCCTGAGGAGCACAAATTCGAAATGCCTTTGAATGAAAAAAAGGGAAAGAGGATTTTCTTATAGCTTAGCATTTCATTTTCTCTTCTTTAGAGTAATCTTTTGGCAGCGTGAAAACAATTTTCTCAATTTTTCGGGCTGCGAAGAACGCCTCGGAACTTTGACTAAATGGAACAATAAAAAAGCCCCGAATAATTTACTGTCGTCGCCGCAACTAATCAAATTGACCCGAGCACCACACTCGAGTTTCTCCGAACAAACAATCGAGTCTCTTTGGATTTGCAGCTCGCACAGCCTCACATTATTAGGCAGAAAGGCAGGTTAATCGAAGTCGTCCCTTTCCCTTTTTTGCCCAGCGCCGGTTTTGATTTCGGTCCCCCGGAGAGAGCGAAATTTCCAGTTGATCCTTTCAAAGGAAAAAAGATCGGAGATAATTTTTTTGCTCCTGCTTTTGCGACGGACGGACGTCTCTTTTAATGGGTCACATGTGCCCTGTTTGTTTTAAAAGTTATCAGCGCAGCGTATGTTTTTTGCCCGGCGTTGACCTTTGTCCCTTTTGGCCGCGCCAGACCGGAATTTTCTTTGCCCCTTGGTGGAAAAATACGGCATGCGTTGAAGCAAAAGGCAACCGGACGGCGCTCGGCTGATGAATAAATAAAAATGTTTGCTTTTCATCTTCCGCGCACGCACACACACACACACACACACACAGCAGCTCTGCAACTTGTTTAATTCCCTCTAACTTTGAACTTGGCTAACGAATTGTTTAACAAATCGAAATTATTTCATTTATGCCAAATCCCCAATTTGAAAATGCGTGAGTTGCAAGAAAAATACTGAAAGTTTATCAATAATTAAGTAAATATTATAATTTTTATAATTTTAACAATTTCATTGATATCATTGTATAGCTAATTCCATCAATCTTTCAGATTTTAATTTACAAAAAGCTTTATAATCTTTAAAACTGCAACGGTTTCAAATACATTGACTACTTTATTATAATTTGTTTCCTCAAAACACGTTATTTGTGTAATTGAAGAAAAAATTTTGGTACAGCCAGAAAATATGCAACGGTTTTTTAATTTCGGTAAAAATCTTTGGCATGATTGTTTTTCGGTCAAAGCAATTCTCCTGAATATTGATTTCCAGCTATAATAGGCAATTAATTTTTTTTTCGGTACTTGGTAGGAAAGGCTAAATTTTGAGAGAAATATGATATGAAAAAATTGATTTATGAAATCAATCTCCTTAGATATTTTTAGCAAGAAGAGATCGCATTTCTTCAACTGAGAGGAAAAAATACGTTTCTTTACTTTTGCCTGTTGAAAATGATTCCAACAATTACAATGTAATTGATATTATCTACATTATTTCATCTCATTAAATTCGTGTAGTTCACAATCCAGAGCTAGAAAAGTTATGCTTCAAAATCCACAAGAATTTGAATTTTTTCTCCAGCGAAACTTGAGCAAAAAATTTAACAATCCGCATATATTGAATATCAGTTTTGAAAAGAACCCGTCATGAAAAAAAAAGAAATATTTCGCGAAAGATATCCCATTTCAATCGCGTGCATGGTGCGTCAAGATTGCTTTTATCGGGGCGAGTGTGTCGGGTGCTTCAGAAGGAAGCGGATTATCCAAATGGAATGAATATATACGTGGCCTTTGTGCTGACAGCTGAACGGATGCACAATTTATCGCGTTAGCGGCGCAAATGCGAAATTATGATCCTTTCGGGAATTGCAAAATCGCAATTCGGGCCGAGTGCGGAGAGCCATTCTGAAAACACACAACATTTATCACATTTCGGCGCGAATTATTTTTATATCAGCCCGACAGATTGTTCATCTGCGCTTCTTTTGATGTGAAACACGCCATGTGTGAAATGTAATGCGTCCATCGAATGGAAAGTGATGAAATTTTTGTATTGGAAATGGATTCAAGTTCGATCGAATGGAAAGCCTAATTTTTGATATACTGAAATCATTGAGTATTTTAAATTGAACTAATTTTTTTTTTAATTCTTGGAAACTTGATTTTGAGAATATTTTAACTCTTTTCTGTTCTCAATTCTAAAGTGATATTGTAGAATTCAATTAATCTTACTGAAAGAATTAATTTGAATCTACTTAAATATTTTTATTTTTAATATTAAAAATAAAATTTTTGATTTCTTTTTTGATAAATATTTTCTAATAATCGACACAGTTTTTTTAATCTGTAGATAATTCAGCAATTACATTATTTATAAAATTATATTTTTGATTAGATTTGAAAGAAATATTCAACTTATGAGTAAAAATATTATGCTGTGTATAAATATATAATATTTAAAAAGAATTTAATAATTAGTTTAGTAATTAACTTAATGAGGAATTTACAGCCTGCTTCATCCAATTTACGCCCCATCTAAAAAGTTGTCCCCAAAAAATATGTTTTATGTCACATGTAGTAAAAACGCCGGTTATCTCTTCGAAAGCCACAAAATGCTCGCAGTTTTTTTTTCTCTCTCTCTCTCATATATGATCTTCTTCATCTCTGCGGCTTTAATAATTCAAAGGCCACTTTTTGTCCGTTCGCAGAGCACGCCCCTGTGACTTTACGGCCGAGAAATTCGGCAGCAAAGCTAATTGAAAAAGCAGTTGCGCAGAACTTGGGACTGAAAAAGGTCACCTGTGCTGCACAAGTCGGCCGTGTCGCTTTGAAGCGAGAGAAACAAAGCCGATGAATAAAACAAGGCCGAATTAGATGTGGAGGAAAAACGCCTGCAGACCAGACCGGCGGCAACCCGCGCCACACACGCGTCCAGCGGGCTGCATACCTGTGTCTTCTCAGGCATTAAGCCTAGGCAAAATACAAAAGCAAAATATATAATGGAATTTTCGTATTTACAAGTCAAGAAGGTAAAAATGTGAAGTAATAAATTTAAGAGCAATCCAATGGCTAAATTTAAGTTTCTCAGTTAAAGTACAAATAAATAATATACTAAAAAAAATTTGAAAATTTTATAGTTAATTAAGCGTAAAATAACTCTATAAAATTAATTAAAAATCTAGGCAAATCTTTTCATTAGTGAAAAAAATTAATCAAATTGAATTCTAAAAATTCTCAAAAGTATGAAGTTTTACAAATAAAATTTTTTATGTTTCAATAAAAACGTGCCAGTGATTTTATGGAGTTTAAATTTAATTAAGTTTTTTGCGCATTTGTTGACAAGAGATTATTTTCTGCAATCATTATCTTAACAAAATTAGCAAAGGAATGAATTATATATTTGTTATCTTAAAAGTCTTTAAACGTATATGTATGAACCTTGATTGGTCTGCACTTGAACGTGCACATTGCATGATCTTATTGCGTAACCTTGATTTTATCGATAGATAATTGAGATTTTTTATATTACATTTTGCATAAGATTGTTCTCGACTGTAATTAAATTTGTTATATTAATTGTCTCTTTTTTAATGAAAAACTGCATCAAAAAGTGAAGCAGACTAAATTAAATTTAAAAACCCTCATTATATTTGTTAATTGATTATTTTTCAATACTTCTTTAATGTTATCTTTTTTCATTATCATTTTTGCCACTTCACGCAGGCTTCTTTAAGTGCAATCATGATTGAGATAATGACTACGGAAAACCCCACAGAAATTAATATTGCAAACAATTTTACATTTTAATCTTGCTTTCCGATCGGAAATGGTCTATTGAATCATAAATTTTCCTCTAGATTGTCAAAATTTTCCAAATTTAATCATTATTATTATTATTTTTTTAATACCGAACCTTTGCACTCGTCATGCCCTAATTACAGAAAATAATGAGAGAAGCCTCAAAAGAAGGAGTTTTTACTTCAGCAGGAGTTTGTCAAGTACGCAGTTGTTATCCAGGAGTTTGTGCGCAGATTCTTGTCCCAAAAAGGGGGAGAAAAAAAATTAAAATCAGAGACCTGGGGTAAATTTAATCACGCTTGCACAGCCAGCCGTCCGGAAGGATAAAAGAGCAAAAACGAGGTCACGGATATAAAATTTCGTCGCGGTTGACAAAGCCACTTTGCGTCCAAAGAGAATGAACGGCGCCGTAATTAAACCGCACCGAAATGAAATTCCCCGTCAGTCGCGGTCAGGAAGGAAAAAAACGGAAAACGCCTTTCGGAAATTGGCGTATTTTATTGCGCACACATGGAAGAGGCAATCCATTAGCCTTAATAAATATCGTGCGCGCGGCAACTCGATATATTATTTTCTTCAGCCGAAATGTTTGCGGCGCCGATAAGATGGAAAAGCAATTTCCGCGCCACAAAACACGTCTCTTTGTGGGCGGCGTCGTCACACGCCGCATTGGATTTAATAACAATCCAGGCCAAACTTGCTGACCTGACTTGACGAGACAGAGAGAGAGAGACAAGTTCATCCCTTTCTTTATCCTCGCCAAATTTAACCAAACACTCTTTTTGCGTCGCTCGCCCAGTCACTCGTTTGCATCCGAAATTGAATTTTCCCGATAAGCCGTTCTGTTTGATTTTGCCGATATGGAATAACGCGAAGTGGAAACGCGGTCACATGAAAAGACGTCCTGAGAGGAAAATGGGAAAAGATAAACAGTTTTCACAGCATAAAACTGCCAAACAAAAGAAAACGCCATAGCAATAATTTATATATTTTTATAAAACATTTTTCTGCGAATCTTTTCGTTAAAAGAATTTCTCTTTTTAAATAAAGCTGCTTTTTATAATTTTTCGGAGTAATATTTTAGAAACAAATCTTCTAATTATCATTTTTGTATCACATTCTACAGTAATAAAATAAAATTAAGGATGAAGTTACTGTTAATTTTTAATATTTGTCCCAGAATTGTTGTAAAATCATGTTTTGTCTGGCTTAAAAATTAACTTTTCGACGATTTTATTTTTAACAATCCTGATTTAAATTAAAAGAACCAGTTCAATAATTGTGATTTTTTGGGATTTTATAAAAAGACCACTCGATCCGTCAATTCAATTAAATGTGAAGCATTTGCGCATCCAATCCGCCAACAACGAGAATTTCGTCCTCGGCAAAATTTTTCCTCTCCAGGCACAAAAGGCCAATATCGAGTGGCATCGTCGAGAGTGCAGCAAAAATATCTCCGCAGCTCGTCAGTCACGAACGCGAAACCCGAGATTCCTCCCTACAAAAGTGGAAGCTCGATTTGTCGTTCAATCCATTTCATTCCGTTTTATAACACAAGACAATGTGGCCAGTCAGACAAACGCAAAAAACATTGTTTCGCGTTTATTGGGTGAGAAATTGTGCCGCAGTTAAGCGAGAATTGCGCGCCTTTGAAGCTTCATTCGAATCTAGTTTTGTAACATAATGAGCTGCGCCCACGACTTCCATTCAAATACGCATTTGATGTTAATTGTTGGGGTTTAGTTTGGTGTTCAACAAATGCGACGCACCAACAAGTTTGCTGAACCGATTAGAGACTTGGTTACGAGTTTTGGACCCGCACCAAATTGAGTTCTCTGATACTTTTTGAAGGAAATCAAGGCTCGCCTTCGCACAATAAGGAATCAATTTTAAAAAGTTTTGAAATTTAGGAATTTTTGTAAAATGCTGGTATATTTTACTAATAAATTATAATATAATATAATAAATATGAAATTCAGGTACTACTAAAATTAAATTATGTGATTATTTTATTGCATAAATGCAAAAACTTATTTTAATTAAAAATTCAGAACTAAATGTGTGCATTTGGAAAGGCTTTCATACAATTAAAAAATTAAATTCAAGAATTTGATAAATTTCTGAATATATTTATAGCAATTAGGCAATGCAAGCAAAATAAATTCCATTTTCTAGAAAATTAAAAATTTAAGTGAAAAGATAATTGACTTGAAAAAAATCACCCCCCCCCCCCTCTATGTTATGGCTGATAAGATAATTGTTTAATTGTTCATTTCAAATTTACAATTTCAATGATAATCACTCTAGATAATATATTTTGCAGAGCCTAAGAACTCAATTTTTATAACTCAGCCAATATGTTGATTGCCAAAATTATAGCAAGTACATAATATTTGTCTGAAAGTTGATTGATAAGGAAGGCTGCGCGTTATCAGAAAATTGACCTCATCACGATTGCTAAAAACTAGCAAACAAGAATAACGTAGCGAGAGTATAGAGCAGAAGAAGGTCTTCTCTGCTGAAAGGGGATTCCCGCCAAACGATGGTAGAAGAGACTTCTGTCGACTTCTCCAAGCTTACTAGAGATTATGAAGAAATAACCGTGCCTGCCCCATGGGGACACATCGCAGGTTTGTTACACATTTTATAGTAATATTACATAAAATTATTATACAAAATATGAATGTAATCTTTTTTCTATACCAAGCCCGGTGGCCCAGTGGTTAGAATGCTTGCATTCTAATCAGTGTGTTCCTTGGCCGTCATGGGATCAATGCTCAGCCTGGGGCTGTTTGTGGAAACAAATAGTCTCTGGTATGCGAATCATTGATAACATTTCGGGTGACACGTCGGGAATTTGGGAGGTATGGCGCAAGCTGTACCGACTCGCACTCGGAGGTTTGCCACGTTTCCTCCGAGCCACAAGCTGGAAGAACTCAGCTTGTGTGGCGAATGCCTGCGTTTCATTACAAGTCCTTCGTGGCAAGGCCAGGGCAAGGTCTCAAGGGGGGTGGGGGGCCCATGCGAGCACCACCAAATCTGCTAGAAAGCCCCCGAACAAGGGTCAGGTTGGTTGGGAAGCACAAATGTGCTAAGGGTGCTCGACTTCGGCAAGAGACCGACCCAATAGCCTAATAAGCTCACGGGTGCCATAAGCAAAAAAAAAAAAAAAAAAAAAAAAATCTTTTTTATAATTTATTTAAAATGTCAAAATATAATCTTCCTTTTGTGGATTTTTTTAATTATTTAAATTTCTGAAGAACTTAAGTGAAAAAAAAATTGAAAATAAAAGCAAAAATTTAGTTTTCTTTTTTTTAATCCAAAGTACTTTAATATGAATTCATAATGAGTAAAATAAAATCTTAAGGGCGTGTTATGTTTAATTTTTTATTAATAAAATTGATGCCGGAACTAATTTTTACAGTTTCTAATTTATTGCACCAACTATTGTAAAATAAAAAAGCTGAACAAACTAAAATTGGGCAAAAGCATGTCCATAAAAATAAGATTTGAACCAATTTTATGGGAAAAAATTAAATTTCTTTTAATAATTTTTTGGAAATATTCTTTAATTTAATATTTGATATTAGTATTTTTAATTAATTATACATAATTTAATTTTAATTATTTTCATATTTTCCAGGTAAATGGTGGGGACCGCGCGACGTGCAGCCGGTGCTGGCGATGCACGGCTGGCAGGAAAACGCCAACGCTTGGGACCCGTTGATGAACCTGATGCCCGCGGACATAAGTTTCCTGGCCGTCGACATGCCCGGCAACGGCCGCTCGTCGCACTACCCGGACAACCCGACGTGGTTCCACGCGAGCGAGGACCTGGTGGCGCTGAGGGTGCTCATCAGACACTTCCAGTGGAGCGAGCCCGTCACCTTCCTCAGCCACTCGTACTCGACAGGGCAGGCCTACATGTACGCCGCGTCCTACCCTGAAGTGAGTCTCGCCATTATCAAGTTAGACAACAAGTTCCTCGGCAAACAGCGAAATCTAATTTCGCGCTCTTACATGGAAAACAATAGAATTAGAGAGAGAACTTGCTTTGTCGGCACAAGTTTCACTTCAAGAGGGGTTAACATTGTTTAATAATCAAGTTGTTAACTCTGAAGGAACTTTTCTGCTTTTTTTTTTAAATATTTTTATTAAATTAAAATTCCAAAATGGCACTATTTTGTTAAATTGTACAATTTTAATTGAGAAAATAATTATTTTATTTTATTTTAAACTGATCAAATTTTTATAAGATTATTGTATCATATTAATTAATTTAGCTATTTAATTTCATTAATTTTTTTTGCAGGAGGTTAAGAAAGTGATTTCCATCGACATGGTGACGCCCGTGGGAATATCAATGGAGCGATTCGCGTCCAGCGGAGGCGCTCGTCTGGACAAAATCATCGACATTGTTGACAAGAAACGCAACCGCGCCGAAAAAACGCTGGAGCAGCACGCCGACGATTACAGCAAAGCGACGAATAACTCGATCAGCGCCGCCGCCTCCAAGCACATCTTGGAACGGTCCATGAAGAGAACCGACTCGAATCTGTTCCGCAGCACGCGCGACGGCCGCGTCTCGATTCGCTTCTACTTCAGTTTTCCCAACGACTTTCTCCTGGAAATGGGCAAACGAATCAGGTGCGAATACTACGTCATCCTGGCCACGCTTCCCATTTTCACCGACCGCGTCGAGCTCATGTTCAAGACGGAGAACGTCCTTCGAGAGGGGGCCAAAAGATTCGAAATTGTGAAAGTGAACGGAACCCATCACGTGCACATAGACCATCCCGAGAGAGTTTTGAAGCCGATTTTGCGGTGGCTCAGAAATAATGACCAGGCAGAAATTATTGCAGCGCAACCAAATGTTCTCAATAAAGGCAAAATATAATAAGGAATTAATTTAAATAGAAATTAATGAAAATAACTAAGTTTTTGTTAATTTAATTTATCAGTGAGAATGTGTTTTTTTGTAATCTTTTGGGTAGAGTTGTGTCTAGTTTGCGGTGTTTTCCCGTTTAAATTTTCGAAAAGAAATTTAACCTGGATTCAGAAACTGAGCGAGAAAACCCCTGCTTGGAAAACGAATTAAAATATCAAAATTTCAACTTTTTATGGGAAATTTTATTTCTTTCTAAAACAGATAAGGATTTCTGTTTCCAAAATAATTATATTTTTCTATCTAAAATGAGCCTAGTCATGTTCAGTGTGTTGCCATTTGTCTTAATTTTTAAGTTTTAAATGGAAAAATTGAATTTTTTTTTAAACAAATCCTTATCTGATTTAGAAATAAATAAGATTTCTGATTAAAAGTGAAATCTGGTCATTTTAAATCAATTTCCGAGCAGTGGTTTTCTCACTAAAATTCTGAATAAACATTAAAAAAATAACAATGGTATTTCTGGTTTGAAATTTTTGATGATTATGTAACAAGATCGAATGGCACTTCAATATTGATGTGAAAAGAGCAAACAAAAACATTAGGGACATTAATAGGAAAAAAATCTAACGCCCCTTGAGAAAAATTTCTAAAATTAATCTATTATTATAATTGTTATCTCCGGTCAGATTAGATTTTTAAATTGTTTACCTTTGATCACCACATAATTATGTAAGTCCAAAGCACGGCTAAAGCGAAATGAATAAATAACAAAAATATTGCAAAAGCATAGAATTATTTTCTTTTAATCGGGAGCTAATGTAGGTTAAACTTTTAATTAAAAAAGTTAATAATCATCTCATTGCCACACTTTTACCTCCTCTAACAAACGACCAAAGTAAAATAAACTTTTCCTTACATCAATGAAAATGCTTATTTTTTCAGCGCTTTGTATGTTGAGACTTGGTCATTTGCATGTGATGATGTAATGAACCGGCACTTTTTCCTTTTTCTATGAACGTAAAAGCAGCTTCCCTTTGCAATTGTGAAGTTATTTATTAGCGATTTGCTCTTGTCCTAAAAACCGAAAATAGAAAATAATACTTTCCCGGAAGAAAATGATGTTTTCCGAGACGCGTTTTCCAGGAATGAAAGGCGAAACGTGGCATCGCGGTGACACACTCGGAGTATATAAAGCCATCTCGACGAACGTCCCATTTCTGGGCGGCTTAAGAGGACAGGTGCAGGTCGCAGCGGCAAAGAGCCTCGGCCGCTTTTCTTGCGCGCTCCGGCCCATTAGATCATAGGCGCAAATGTGTCCTCGGGGGATGGGGGGAGATATTTCATTCGCCGCCGTGTGTGTGGTGTCACCTTCAAAGTGCTCTCTCGCTCTACATCCAACTTGCCATCTCTCTCCACATTTATCCGAATTCGCGTCCGGATTAATTAATTCCGCACGTGGAATTGTTAACTAAGGTCAGAAATTCACTTGTGACTCTAAAAGGTCAAAGCCCCGGGGAGTTCTTGTTATTAATTACTGCCGGTGGGCAGCCCGGGGTTAATTCAAGTCGGGATCCGAGTTGCAAATGACTTTTGAAACGCCGGGATATCAATCATTGGCTCGAAACTTTTGCCGACGATCTGGGCGTAATTCACTTCGGCTCATTCTATTTTCGTCGTCAGTCTTTAAGACGGGATTCAGAGTTGCTGCATGATTGATTTTCGCGGCAAACCAACTTTGATCGCTTTGATTGTTTATTTATATACTGAAATGTACCCTCAAATATGTAAGTTTAAACGTCAAAAGTATAAAATCCAATTAATTTTGCAGCTTTTTATCTTTCCGCTGTTGAGTAAAAATTATGCTTTTTTGTTTTCACAAGTACTTTATAGAGTAAATATTTTTACAAGAATTAAAAAAAAATGATTGTAATTTAATTGAGTTTGAATTAAAAAAAATAAAATAAATAAAGTAAAAACAATTTAAACGTGTAAAAAGTTTAAGGAGTTAAACTAACAATGCTTATAATTTGATTTTGATTCTTAAAATGCTTTTCGATTTTAATAATGTTATTTTTTTTTTTTTTTAATTTAATGTCAAGGCAGAATCTTCATTGCAACTGATCTAATTATCATCAAGTTCAAAACAAACGTTTTACCTCCTTACAGATTATTCTATTAAATTTGAAACATGTCATCATAAAAATATCTCAATTTGTGTCAAAGTAAATTTATGAGGAATTATTACTGCTCTATCGCAAAGGTACGGAAAAATTTGTAGAACAGCTCTATGAAATTTCCCATATCTTAACTTCGTTGGGTGAAGATGAAAGAGAGTTAAAAGGGAGTTTTGAGTTTTTCTCGCCAGCTGTAGCAGAGCGGCGAACGCAATTAATTAATTCATGAAATATATACACAGCTGAGCAGACAAGTTGAAACTCGATTAAAAAGTTTGACCTGTTTAATGAGGAAGAGAGACGTGCCCATCCTCATTACCATGAATCCTCTTTGGTGCCAGCAACCTTCAAAGAAAACTTGCAATATCGATAACGAGAGGCACACTTTTTACAGCTAGCGTGGTAAAAAATTGATTGCAAGTAAAGATTTTAATAGGATTTGGAAAACTTTATTTTCTGTTTTGCAAACTGCGACAAATCTTTTTAAATTGCAGACTTGCAAAGGATCTTTTTTCGTCTCGGTAAGGCTGAGGAGACTCGCGATTATTATCTAAAGCTTTTATTCTGGTCTCGTGCAATCCGCCAGATTTCCATCGGCCCGTGATGAATGAGGCAGCAGCTGCCACGAGACCGCGATTTTTCGCTTCTTTGCCCTGCGGACTCACTAATTGGCTCGTAAAGTGGACAACGGCAGCCGATTTTTCCACTGAAGCCGCTCTTGATGCGAGAGGGAAACGAGGAAACGAGATGTCAATGGGATTTCCACCCTAATTGGAAGGAAATTGGTTGACATTTTTTTTTCACCTTCCACATTTTTTGTTTCACTTCTGCATTGGCAATTTGTTTAACTGTGACAGAAGCAAATAGGTCCTCATAATAATTCTCTAGATGAACCAAAAAAGCTGAATATTTGAACACTTTTAATAAAAAGGTTGCTAAAATACTTAAATTTGAAAGATGTATAAGAAAATAATTTCCTCTTGAACTTAAAAGTTCACTTTATCTTTCCCTGGCCGATCAAGAGTCTTTTAACCCTCTTCACAGTAAGTGGAAAGTTTCCTTTTCGCATACCTTCTGGGATTGACACTTAACCCGGAAGTCTCTCTTTCTCAAGAACTTTCAAAGGCAAAGTTAAATCGGCCGTTCATTGGTGTTAGGAAAGCAATCGACGTTGAAACACTCGCTCAAGGGTTTTAGCAATAAGTAGACAGGGAATCAGCGGAGGAGGGTGGGAATGATTCGGATTTAATGAAATAAAGTTTTCCGCAAACTCCCTTTCCTGAAAAATAAAAAAGCAAGTCTTTGATTTTCCCCTTTTTCATATTTAATATTCAATCTTGTGCAAAGAAATTTTTATTCCGTGATAATTAATTCCGTTTGACGCTGGTCTCTGTGAGAGAAGCTCCGATGGAACTTTTACATTAAATATGTCGATTCGTTTGAAGTTGTTTAGCAAAAGTTTTTATAGAAAATCTATAGGGATAAAATGTCATGGGATGTTTGCTATTCAACCAAAACATATCAAGTGTATGGATTGAGGATTGAGTGTGGTTTTATTGATCTGCACACAAATACAAGTGTATATGCTTGAATTTGGTAAAGATTCTAATAATTTTTATCTCCAAAAATTCAAATCTTTTCACAGTCTTGCACAAAACCCAAAAATAATCTCTTAAAATTATAAATTATAATTAAATTTTCTAAATTAAAGAAATTACTAAGTGGTCAGGAAAATTTTTCAATTTTCTCTTTTTAGAATAAAAAGATATTTCAGGTAATGGTGACTCATTTTTTCCCTTCGATCATTTTGATTCAACAATAAAAAATCTGCTAAGCACTTCAAAATTTCCTGTAAATCCAAGACGAAATTAATGAGACCAGTTTTTTTTATCGCGATTTTTAATATCTCTCTTATAGACGGAGACGAGTGATGCCGAAACTAAGCTTTATCGATTTGGTGCGCCGGAAATTCTCTTTCAAGGAGGCAGCGCTCCTCGTTTTTCGGCAAAAGACCGTCGCGCTTACATCATTCTAATCCGACGTGCCGCGAGAGCAGCTCGTCAAAAAGGGTTTAATCCGCCGCAGAAAAGTGGAGGAGGATTATTATGTATTATGTTGGTGGCGGCGAAATCGCGCAGATCAATGTTGAGCGAATGTTTGCGGGGCCGTTTGTTTGATTGCACTCGCTTGTTTGCGGGCGATTGTTGTGTTTCAACTCTGCTGTTTCATGGGCGTTATTATTAATTAAAGAGTTGCTGCCCTCGCCTTATCAAAGGCCAAACATGCGCCGAATTAGCATAAACAAGCGACTTTGCAAACAGTCACTCTGCCGAAAACAAGATATTCGAATGTGTCAACGCGTGCAGTGACGCCTCCAATTTTGCCACCAGAGTTAATTTCTATAGCTCGGCGCTGTAACTCTCAAATTGCTCTCTGTTCCGTGTTGATTTCTCAAGACAAAAAGGATAATAAAAACTATAATGGTTTAATTAATATTTCTTTTATCATTAAAATCCTTTCATAATTGTCCTGAAATAAATTTTAAAAAAATTAAAGGCAAGTAAAATGGCTTGAAGGTGGTGCATTTTTTTTTTATCTCTTTAAAGAATAATGAAATTAAATTCTTGTAATATGGAAGCAAAATTACAGAGTAAATTTGTAGCTCTCGGCGCAAAATGCAAATTTGAAGTCGACGCGAGAAAAAACAAATAAAATTAAAGCAGACGCTGTTGAAATTGCTCAATCGACAATTTACATGAAAAGCGCCACATTTCGCCGCCGCTCTTTCTTTTCGCTGAATATAGCCCAAGGTCGCGGGTCTCGGCTCTCGCGAAGCAACAACTCGTTCTCTTTCTTTTCTCAAGTTAGCTCGCTCGCAGGTGGAAGAAGAGCGAACGCACCCTTCGGCACATGTGTTGCGCAGGGGGTGTATTTAGCGACTCTCGTTCTTTGCACAAGTCCCTCGCTATTGTCAATGCGCTGACGTCAAAAATGCCGTTGAATTATAAAATAGAAAACGACTTTTGTTCTTTTACATCCGAGTGTACCAACTGGCACTTGTTGTTCATCAGCGCGACACTAAAATAATTTTTGCCGGGCGAAAAAGTTGCAGCCATCGGAAAATTGTTTCCTGAATGGGAAAAGGTGGCACAATGAAAATGATATTTCGTCAACATGTTATAGAGAGAGACATGCTTTTTGTTTTGCAACTCTTTGTTTGCAAAATAATGTGTATGCAAATTTCATTCAAAGCATACAGATTTTATCCATTGTGCTTGGGAGAGAATAAAATTATAAATTAATATTTAATGCTAATTTAAGATCATCAATAATTACAGTAATAAAAATTGAATAAATTAAAATTAGAAACGGAAAATTTGTCTTTAAAAGGATACTAAAAATTTGATAGAATCAAGCATTGAAAATTTGACCAATATGAGGAAATTCCATTTAAATAGAACCGCAAATATTAATTATTAGTGTTGTTTTCCAACATTCGAATATCAAAAATATCAATATTATTTAATAAATTTTCAGACTAATTGTAAATAAGAGAATTTTCCTGTTCAATTTACTTTTAAGTTTTGACTGAATGGAGAATGCATTATTAAAAATTGGCAGAATAGAAAAAGCTCGAGAGAATTTTTTTCTTTTTTCATATTTTATTATTGGATCTCTTTCACCCTGTTGGCTTTTTTGCCTTTTCTTCACTCTCTTCACGTCATGTTTTGATCAGATTCTTGATATTCTATTCACCGAATCAGCTTACAAAAGACATAAATTGCAAGAATTACTCGGAGTTTTTCTTCCTCGGTTAATATTTTACTCCAGGTAGGAAGGAAAGTGACCCCAGCGTATGAAATGGATCAA